CTTGTCCTTTGACGCCACCTACTTTTGTTTTTTTTTTCAATTTGGGATGGTTCCACAATCATGTATTTGTTTGTTTGGTTGCTCCTAAACACGATTCCAGCATGTTGAGCAGGGCTAATAAAAACAGAACCCAAAATATGTATTTAAAAAATAGAAAAATAACAAAAGTATTTTATTAATTTTATCTGTTTTTGTTTATTTCCTTTTTTTTTTCAACTCACGATAACGTCATTTAATACAACTTTGAATTGCCTAAACCATGACAACCACAATTGATATGGAAAGCGGAAATGACGTTAACTGAATCAGTTTGCTCTCTTCTCTCCGAAAATAAATAGATTTTTGCCGAAGCGGCCCTACCCACACCGGCAGAGATTTCGATAAATGTTAATTGCCAAAGCTTTGTTTATTTGAGTTTAAAAAGTGTCATTCTGACAACAGTGTCATTTATATAATAGTGTCATTTTTAATAACAGAATCATTGTATAGCTGCCAGAGCACACTTTCGACGCGCCCCAGAATTCACCACTAAAATCATATCAATAATAACTGTGATAATGAAATAACGAATCATAAGGGTGTTGGACTGCGATAAAGCTTTAAAACAGATTAGTTAGACACGAACAATTTGTGTCAATAAAACAAAAGATGTTCAGCTTTAGTAATAATTTTACATAATACACAACTAAACGCTTCGAGAAATGCCTTCATCAGCACAACAACATAACATTTAAATAAGTATAAATTAAATTTACATGATAATTTATATATATATATATATATATATATAATATATATAAATATAAATATATATGTTTAATGAAAACAAATGCTTGGAATGTCGTCGTCCCGCCCCCACCCCCATCCTTTCTGGCATTACGCAGTCCTGTCAATGATGCATGGGCAAGAGTCAGTGCCTTCCTTTTGAATGAGCAACCATTTGCGTCAATAAAATCTGCTTAGAAAATAGTTTGGGGCGCCGCATCTCATTACAGATTAGAAAAAGAAGGAAAAAAGCACGGCATAGATGTTCCTTCAAAAGGTCGCACGTAATTCCGACACCAATGTATATGGAAACGAACATCTAGGGGGGAAGCAGATAAGGGTAAACACGATGCTACTGCTGTGTTGTATCTTTAAATGTACGGAAGATGACAGAGCACTTGCTCTTCGGATGCCCCCCCCCTTTTTTTTTTCGTGGTCCGCACACGCTAAAAGCTGCCACTGTTTCTCCCTGTTCCCACCCGAGAGGGCGAACACCCCCCCCCCCCC